AGAATGTCTTCTCATTCTATCGTTTTCTTTATATTTGTCAAATTAATTTCAATATCACGTCCCTTATTTTAGCTCATTTGTCTAGGTTATCCCCAAAAAAAATCCGAAACAAAGCAATCTATTTATTTAGCATTCGAGAGATCGGCTATTTTTCAGAATGACGATGTGTCATCGTGTCCCGAATTCCCATGTTTATTCCATCCACCATTAACTTCATACGCTAACGATCATACACCAAATAGAACACAGACCCTATAGAAAGAAGGGACACACACAGAGAGAAAATTTAAAGTACAAATTATTCCCATTGAACCTAAGTATTATTGCTTAATTTGCATTGAATTTTTTTCCATTCCATCCCAGAACTCTTCACATGGAAACTATTTTGAGAAAAATCGAAGAGGATTAATCTCAAAGACGCACAATGGTAGAGGGAGCACCTGCTAATTGAATAAATTTGATGAACTAAAATGTAGCTCTGTTCTAAATTTATCACACATTTGTTTGTTCTCTATTATTGATCAGAAGAGAACTTTGAAGAGTCAGAAAAGCCTGATATTGTCGTCATATGGATCTGTGACTCATGCTGTGAATCTCCTGTAAATCATGATTTGCTTAGGCGCCATATCTTAGTTTAAATTTAACACTAGCTAAGATTCTATTTTAGATAGTTCTGATGATCGGTAACGTCAATCTTCTTCGTTCTCATCTTTCTTTATCCGACAGCGTAGATTGTATAGTCAGAAAGCCGCTAAAACTTAACTAATTATATTGCTTTGTCTTTCTTTGGGACTTTGCTATTTTCGTCAAACATTTTTTGCTATTTTCGAAAAATAATATTTTTAGAATATTCTTATATGTGCCTTGAGCTCAATTTGAATCCAACGAATACGAGTGGTGAATTCAAAGGAATCCAGTTCGATTCTAATTGTGAGTTGCTCACAAGAATGTACCATGGTGCGGCTGTTGACACTATATTTTCCTATATTTCGAATTGGCGCGCTGTGTAGTTCCGATTCGAAATGTTAAATTACATTGATGTGCCCTTTGAAATTGGGGGCGCTCGCGTCGCCTCAAATGACTTTGTCGTTCAACAGCCGCCACACGGAATGTACACAATTTATTATTGGAAAACATTTATTAGCATCATGTTAGCGGCTTGGCTTATCAAATAATAATTGATCAAATTAAGTCAATAATTTGATTTGCCTTTGTGTCTACTCAGAAAAACGTGTTCTAATTATTCCTCTTAATTATCTGCTATGTTTGAAATAACGTTCAAAGTCAATTATCAACCACGGCAATAATCCTGCATTCTTATTTGCAATTATAGGCTTTGACATATTTTCTGCAGCATATTTTAAGCATTTTTTTATTTAATAACATATTCCAACATAGTAACAATATTTTATTCAAATAATTTACCGTTTCTTTTTCTTTTGTTTGGTTAAATTCAAAAATTGGAGGCTTTAAATTCTATCACTTAACCCATTTTGTAGACGTATGGAAATATCACTAATAAAGCAATTCCAAAAGATTTAAACATGTAAAACATAACTTGATATTTGTTTTGGCTCACCGTCAAATACATATATCAACTCAGAGTGTACCTGTGTCCGCTTGATCTCTCAGACAAAACCAGCTGTTTGTTAAATATGTAATCATATTCATATCGAATGTGGACCAGTAGACTAGCAAGAAAGTAAAATTCTATTTCGCATACATGTGTTTGAGTTTGAGTTTTTTGATTCCATAAACGAGACATCTTACTGGGGATTTTATCATTACATTCACGATTTTCTTGGGAATCATATCCAAACCAATTGATTTACTCAAGTATGCATATTTTTGATTAATATTAAATAATATTGAGATTGTTATATTTTCGAAATGATTACAAGAACAATGGCAGTAAAAAGTGATGAATCTATACAATCAAATGTTTTGTTTTTGATTCCAGCGTGTGATTGCTTACATTTTAAATCACTGGAAAAAAAAGTCAGTTGTTTTTTTTTAAATTTCATTGGGATTTTATTCTCTCTCATCAGTGTCATCAATATTTGATAATGACACCCGCTTGATTGATAATGGTACATTTTCGTTCTAGTCACTTTAAGCATGGTCTTTTCTTGAATGCCAAATAAATAAACTGATCGATTTCGATGTGTTTCGGGATAACCCAAGCCAAATGAGCGAAAAGAAGAGACATAATACGAAAATAATATGACAATTGATCAAGAAAATAATACAATCAAATGATATTTTAATGAGAATGTCGAGCTGAAATTAGTCACAATTAGAGGTAGATTTAGTATATAAAATTTGTATGTTAATTAGTCTCTGTGAGTACTTTTCTCATTTTTTGTCTCGTCCGTTTGATATTGAACGCCATTTTATTCAGCACAAATGACGACATATGACCGAAATAAAAAGGTTAGTCCCAACTATTGTCACCTATACAGTGCTCAACTCAACTCACATTAAGTTCGTCTTCGGTGTTCAATTGTGTTTTGTATTAAAACGAGATATAACTTCGTTTCACTGTGCTTACACCCAGCCACAAATGACTATTCGAATTCCGAATACGTAAAACTACGCGAAATTGGCAGGAATCCATTCACCAAAAACGCGTAAAATACGAAACTCAATGCAAAGAAATTGTTGCACAATAAATGTTTTACAAAATATTACAATGTAATCTCATTACGTGGTCCCGTTGATTTCGAGACAAAACACCTAATGCGGAGATGTATATGCTAAGTTCAAGAAAATTGAATATGAAGTTTTTAATAAATTTGTGTGTGTGTGGAAAAAATGTTTGAAGATTTCAATTAATTTATTTTGGATACGATGTGCAACGTGGAATTGGACAAAAATTGTCATATGTATCTATTTCATTGCATGTTTGGCTAACGCATAAAACAGGAACAAAAAACTCTTCCAAGTAACTCTAAACTGAAATTTCATAAATCAGTTTTTGAATTTATTATTGGATAGAGAAGTGAATAAAAACATTCCCGCACTTATTCCTCTAAAATGGATTGAACGACTTGTCATTCTTAGTCATCGTAACATGTCTCCGAACAATATGGGGCTTTTCATTTGTGCGTCACAGTTAATCACAGAATCCGTATGATGAAAGTGAAATCAGACTCTAATCATTCTCATAATAATAGTGCACTGATTTACACTAGGGGGATTTAACTACGTGAAAACTTGTAAAGAAATGATATAAACGCGCACGAAATTGTTACATTCACCAGAGAACTTGCATGATTCCACTCAGTTGACAAGTTCCGTATTAAAACAACATGCGCGAACGCGCGCGAGTTCGTGTGCAAACTTGTAGCTGGACGACGCGCACACATCAGTCGTTCCATTTATTATATCTGGATTAACTTTTTCTTCAACACTTTCTCCAGCTCTTTAAAAATATTTCCTTTGTCCATTTTATAATTATATAAATCTTTGAACTTTTGGAAAGGATGTGAAAAATCTTTATACACGTAAACAACCGATTTTTAGCTTGAAACGCGTTTTAATTGTCAAATAACAACTTGAAAAACGCGCAAAACCATAAACAAACTTGTGTAAACTTGTGACCGTGCGCGTCAGTACGTACAAGGAACGCGTCGAACTCCCGCGAATCAAGCAAACTGGCAAAAAACATGCTGAACTCGTAAGAGTTAAATTCCCCTAGGATTTACATATGCCGTTTCATATGGTTTCACATAACTATCAAGATTAAGTTTTCCCAATTATGCAAATCATCTCCATGCGTGATCAAAGCAAAAAGCAATTGTAAGAGAGATTTGACATATTCATTCTTTCCAATAATACAAATACTGTTCCATTCAGTAATAAAAAAGTAATTTTTTCCAATTTCAATAAATTAACAATGCCATCTTGAGTGTTCTTGTACAATTGAGTATGATTGAAGGCTTTTTGATTGATTCAGATAACAAGTAAATAGTTCAAAATAGTACTCATCAACATATTGCAAATATCACACGTGTAATTTTCACTCAGGGCAGTAGAGTCAGTTTATCAAGCACAGATATATTTGCATCCAAATTCGATCAAATCATGAATACTTCTGCTTTTAGAGTTGATTTGATTTGCTCTATTTAGAGTGTGTTTGTGATTGCGATTTATGTTGTATTCGACTTATACACTTTTCAAATCTCAGTCAATCCAATTTAACTGACTCATATGTACTTTTCATAAAATTGTCTTTGATCAGATGGTCATCGTAAGCAATCAAACCTCTTGGAAAAGAGAGAATGAATAGAAATGCTACTTTCCCTGTGTAAATGTTGTTCAACTTATCTAGGGGACTATCACAAACGAAACTGTGGATTATTACCCTAATGGCTAAATAAATCTTATCTCATTTTTAAGCTTCATTCCAAACTTTCTGTAAGGTATGCAGAATTTGAACTAGATTTGTGAAGTAAAAAGAATATAATTTTTTTTTATAAATTTGCCAAATGCCCTTCATTACCTTGTGAGTTTCAGTAGACTTTCAGTAGGTATTGATAGAAACGTACCTGAGCAATTCGTAATTGCTTTCGATATTTCACTTACATCTAGGGTTTAAAAACGCGTTATTTTTTTCAGTGTTTCTTAAAAACGTTTTTTTACAGAGCCGTTATATAACGCCCAAAAAACGTTTTTTTCGTTTTTTATCGTTATTTCTGCGGTATTTTGGACTGTCAAAAAAAACACTACAGAAAAATAACGTTTTTATAACACCGTTTGCGGTATTTGTCGAAAAGTTTGTAAACCCTACTTACATCATCACTCGGCATTCACGTATCCAGAAAACAAAAAGTTTCAATATTGACGGTCCTTTTCAAAGAATATATTGATTTATATTGTCAAAACAAATGAACATCAATAAAGCGAAAATACTACAATTAAGTAAAAAAAAATAACAGTCGGCTTAATTCTTTCTAAATCCACATGTTAAAAGAATTCGTCGAAATAAAATAAATATTTTAACTAGACAATAATGTCACATTAACCATTGATCTATACAACAGTTTAAATGTAGCCTCGACACTTTTGTGATCCGCATTGACACACGGTCTGCATATTCTTTTTGCCCCAGTTGTAATCAAAAGTGATTTCTTCGCCCTGTAAAAATGGAACAAAAAAGAACAGAATAGCAATTAGATTTCCAGAAAACGCGCATTGCATTGAAACCAAACTGAAGATATACTAACGTACCGGTAGAATCTCGCGCCGTGCAAAGAGTCCAATGCGAATTTGCTCTTGTCCATTTGAGTACACTGTCCATGTGTCCATTTGTTTGGCGCAACGTTTGGATCACACGAATGGTTAATGAAACGTGCCTCGTTCGCATACACGGCCGCGTCAATGAACATATTTTGCCCGATTGTCAAAAAATAGTAGTTTTCGATTTTATTGGCTTTGGCGCGATTGAAACGTTGATCAAATTCCACACTGTCTATCACCTCTCCCATGTACTCAATGATAAATTTCTCTGCGGGAATCTTCTCCTTGGCAAATAGGCCCCACCCTTTGGATTTGGTCATTTTGACTTCAAACAAAAACTGTACTCCACGATGAAAATTTTGATTTTGACACTTGTCTTTCGCTGGACATAAGTCCGGATCGCATTCAAAGCTCAGCATTGCATTGTAACAATTGCTTTCGATACTGCACGGTGCTGGATCATCGGGGCGACATTTGCACTCATTGTATTCCGACTCCTTGAACCTGGCTACCACTCGGTTGGTTTTGATTTTTTTGTAAGGTGGTGGCTTGCTGGCCGTACTACTGGATTTGGCATTTTTCTCGCTTATCTCTTTATATCGACTCATCCACTGTTCGGCCTCATCCATCGCATTTTTCAATTTCTTCGTTTCATTTCCCGTCCGGAAATTTTTATCTTCGGTCACATATCGATAGATTTGTGTCTGAGACACCCAGCCGTAATCATGTGTACCAAAGAAGAATACACAAATCTGATTGGGCTCCTTTTTTCTGGCGATCACTCGATCGGGAATACACGGTGTGGGTACTGTTATTGATGGCCACCATTGTGATCGTGAATATTTACACCACACGATTTCTCCAAACAACGGCCGACGACCGGATTCACAATCCTATGTTCACAAGAAGAAGATACCAAATTTGAAAATACAATCAATTAGAAAGTATGATATTGAATTTGTGTTTTCCATTTAAATTACCTCACAATCGAAATGATTACCAACGGTTACATTTATACCAATTCCTTTCAGACAGTTTTGATGAAATGCATGAGGGCAATGATCGCAACAAAAAACTTCACCCTGTCCAGAACATAAAACACAATGATCTGTGTGAGTACGTTTCCAATCATTTTTGGTTGATTGATGGCGAGCACAAATCAATTGTGTCTCCGATAGCAGCTCACTTCCAGCTGGAATACATTCCGATGAACGATGATATGTTCCCGGGCACAGTATACATTTGATTAGCTTCTTATCTGGCTCTGTGGTTTGAAACAAATTGCGAATGTTGGGCGAAACACAAGTATGACAGACGTGTCGAGAGCAGTGCAAACTTTTGAGTTGGCTGCTTGCGTATTGCTTTTTGTGCTGTGGCCAATACTTGAGGCACTCCAAATGGTATGCTTTTCCACAATTTTTGTCGCAACATTGAACACAATCGGCGCCTGAATCCGAACATATAAAACAGACATTGGCTGTTGACGTTGTGCAAGTTGCACACTGCATTTTATCCAAATTCTCTTCAATAATGGAAACAGTATCAATCGTTTCTTCATCGTTTTCCAACATTTTTCGCTTCAAAATCGCATTGTAGTCTGCATCTGAAAGCGACTTACTCAGGCAATCCCTATGAAAATACAGGCTGCATTTTCCTGCGCATTTCATAACACTGCCACTTCCAAGGCAAAATTGGCAGATTGGATTTTTGGGCAAGCCTTTGAGCAAAAAGTTTGTCGGGTAACGTTTTATGCAGAAATTCATTATGAGATTATCGTGAAGTTTGCGTTGATTTTCAAGCTCCATTTTTTCTTTCGATGGTTTTTCCTTGATCTGGCTCTTATTAATCTCATTGAACAACGCTTCCATTTGCTTTTCAGCCATCGCCTTCTTAACGGCAAGTTGTCTTTGGCGTTTGGTTTGGTTCGGTGTACCAGCCGTTGAATTCGATGCTACACTATCGATGGACAATTTTTGACTCAAACGTTTCAACGATGTTTTTGGATTCTGTTTTGTTTTCACCATTTCCGACCAAAGCTCGTTCAGATGTGCCACAAACTTATTCTCATTGACTATGGTATTTTGACTGTCTCTGGACAATCGGTCATCGTCTCTCAGTTTATCATACACCAATTTGGTCAAACGGCAGTAAATTTGATCGCTGACTTTGGTGACTCAGTTATTGCAGCAAACGTTCTCGAGTCATCCATTTGCAAATCTTCTTCAGACAGTTCCTCAGGTCGACTCAGTTCGACCGACTTTAAGTAATTATTGATATTTTTACCAACGTCATAATTACGACCATTTAATGTCGGGCTTAACGATGCCGGTGACACTGATTGTTTCATCGACGAAAAGGCGGTGTAAAACGTTTGTGGTGTATCGCAACGGTCTTCAACTTTGTGACGATTCGAACGTATTTCAGTATCCATCTTATGTACCGAAGCCATCAAAATTTTATCATAAAACTCGATACGATTGGATAATGTGATGCACTACAAAACATTCGCTTCTTGAACTGCAACGTTCCACTCTTTGCTGGGATTATATTCGTACGCTTTGTTACGTTTGTTGGCTGGCAACTGAAAACAAAATACATTCACCGCTTAGTGTGATACGGATTTCAAAAAAATGGGTTTCAAATTCGTTGTACGAAACTTATATATTTCTGCTTACAAAATAGTATTCCATGCAATGATCAAAAGAATTTCGATTAAACGACTGTTATTTCGTCATAAGAAAGTGTTTGACCGATAAAAATGAGAAACAGAGAAAAAATACTGTACCTGGCATTGTTTGGCGAACTCATTACGACCCTTGAATGGTAATATCGCTGATTTAGCGTCCACCCAATCACGACGTCCATTGTCATATAAGAATTTTACATGAATTTGATTATCTAAAGAGGTTAATACAAACAGAGAGATTATGTTGAAACACAATTCGTGGCAATCGTAACAAATAAATAAATATTCAAAGTAATTGTTATGTTTATATTTTGATGCCATTTTGAAAGGAAAGTCTCACCTTTTTGAAATATGTTTTCGACTTTGCAATTGAATATAACTGCTGGCCAGAATGGGAAACTGGCCCATACAATTTGTCCAATGTGCCAATTGTCAGTTGAATCACTTTCGCCACTGTCAGCGATGAAACAATCGTTGCTTGTGCAGACCGAAAATGGTTCATCATTATTTACTGAAATCGGAGATCTGAATTCATACAGATTCTTTTTGTAAAGGATTCGTTTGGAACGACGAATATTATCGCTTCTACTTTCAGATGTTTGTGATTCATATTGTGACTCATGTTTTATATGGAGCTCAAGCACACGATCCCATTCAATTGATTCCTTTCTTGGCCCAAAAGATGCTAGAAATTCATGTTTAGATTTTTCAACTTCATCTTTTTCCAGTGTGCTGTTTTTGGCATCCAATACACTTGTGTTTGAGCGTATTAGATGTTTTTGTTGCTGAGATGATACCGTCGCTTCGATACTGAGTAAATCATTGGAATTCAAACCAACTGGTGCTGTTGAATCAGCATTCGAATTATTTTGTGGTTCATCATCACACACTGGCTGGTTAAAATTTTGCTCCGAATTATTTACCGGAAAATACGAATCAATATCAATATCAATATCAATATCTGATGAGTGATCGTATAGCTCATTATTCAATTTTGTCGGTGACATATGATGAACACTTAAATCGGGCGCCATGACTTCTGGTTCAATTGACCTTGAGATCTCGCGGATTATGATCTTTGGAACCGTATGAGTTGATGTCATCCGCATTTTCTTCTTAATCTTTGCTTCTGTGCAATTTTTCATGCCGGGCGTTTTCATAGCTCCTTTCAATGGGAACCTATGTTGTTGCTTTGGCGTTTGACTGGATAACGATCGCAAAATCATTTTCGATGTGAGAGCTCGATGGTTTTTTGATAGTTTCGGCAAATCCTTTTTACTCCGCGTAAGAGGTCCGCGCCACTTATTCAGATTTGGAGGTGGTGTAGGTAGAGATGGACTTTGATTTTCTAAATCAAGCGGTACGTACGATTTATTTCGTTTAGTTTCTGTTCTCGCTTTCTGTACTTGTTGGGCAATTTCAGTAGTGGACATTTGATGGTAATTCCTAAGATGTAATTTGTAGTTTCTCAATAGTTTGAAACTATGTGATTTTCCTGTGTTGTGTGGAAGCTCGCAAATAGTCAAACAGAAAAATGCATCTTTCGAATGAACTGTACGGAAGTGTGCTTTGAAATTGTTTGTCCCAAAATACATCTGGCATTCTGGGCACTTAACGAAATTGCGTATCCGCTTCTTTTCAACCTGGAATGGCATAAAATATTCAATTCTTTTTGCATTTGAAAGTTAACTGATTATTGAAAATAATGCAAATAAAAGAGCATTAAAATAATTCATGGAGTCAAGGGAAGAAAACAAAAACACACACACAAATTCAATGAATTTTTTACCTTCACTACTTCACTATCGTCTACTTCGACAACATAAGAAATTGTTTTTTCCGTGGCTTTTCTGAGCGGTCTCTACCGCTTTCGATTCCCAAAAAGAGTTTCTTCGTTGTCATCAGTTGCCATTGTAACACTTATCTTTATTATTTTTAATTATTATTGCGATTGTTATTTAAATTGTGTCGACTATGTATGATTTGAATGTTTACTGCTATCAGTTGTTGTTGTTCACATAAAAATGACAGTTCATGTTCAAATATTCTGACGTTCATATTTTGCATTCAACCAGCGACATCTAACGGCATTTGGATGTATATGAACATCCATTGAAATCGCAATTGTTTTATTTTGTTTCATAAAAATCGTTATAAATATTCCTCATAGTTAAGTATTTACAAACTTTTTGTTGCTAGAATAATAATAAAAAAAAATAAGTTATGGATTTGTAAATAGCTATTGGGAGAAAATCTCTCGAAAATTGAATTGATGGCGATTGATAAGAGACACATAAATATATGGCGTTGACGATATGCACTGTCCAATTCATCACAGGATTTAATTGAACTAACATTATTTGAGATGATTGAATTTACAGACATATTATACGTATTTGAATCTAATCAATAAACTGCGGAATTCAAACATGTTGTTCGGACTTTCGAAGCAATAGTTGGTTGCAGTCAATATTTTTTTCGGCAAATGTATCATATACACCTCCGATTCGCCACATTTCAAAATCATTGCTCCCGTGCGGCTTTCCAGATTCAGTCTTTCGGCAAATATTTCATCAAGGGAAACTGATTTTCGCACAAACACACTGCAAACGACACTTTTTCTATCCCCTTTTCTTGATGCTCGATCGACTTTACACTTTATTCTATAGAATAAAGTTTGCAGTAGGCCAACATAATATTTTTAATGGTTTAACATATTTAAAAGATATGTTTATCGTCGGATTCATCTCCAAAAGTAGATCTCATTGGTTGAATAAAATATCCAAATCGATGGCCATTTGGCAAAGATATAGCCTTTAGAATATTTTGGTCAGAATCGTCGATGGGATAAAATATTAATTGACAGTGCCATTTATCTGGTATTAAAATTGAACTATTTTTCCTTTATTTAAATTTTATGTAACATTGTATGCAAATTGTCCAAACATTCCAGAGACAAAGGAGTCATCCGTTAACTAGCCCGTGAAATCTGATGAATTTTTGCTAAATGGGAAAAGGAGAATATTGATTTTGTCATTGAATTTTCCGAAATTTCATGTCTTTTCCGTTAAAAAAAATCAACGTTTTTCTGTTTTAGTTCATGCAATGTGTGACTTCATGACATCAGCTATAATTCCACTTTGAATTGCTAAACTGAGGACCTTCTTACATAAGTCATTTTAAGATATATAAAAATGTTTTCAACAAATAGTTATTAAAAAGTATATGCCACTATGTAAGAATCGAACAATTTAATAAAGTCGTGGCCACAGGGAGTTAGCAAGACGCATGCTATAAGGTTTTGAACTTCCATCGAAAGAGATGGTGAATACAAGTTGTATATATCCAACTCTCTTTCTCCTCGAAGTCGAAGCCAAAAACCATGTAACGGACGTTTTACTAACTCCCTGTGCTCGTGGCTTTAAATAGAAACTTATTGAACTTTCGGGCTGTCAAACTGACTCTACAGATAGTACAGGGCACGTTTCACTTTTATTGGTTAAAATTATTTCAAATTCACGTGGAATCTTTGATACGATGCTTTTGATTTCAAAGAATGCAAACTTTGGGCCAAAACAATTGCGTGGAACGGCTAACAATGGAATGTATGTGAAGGAGTTCTGTTTTCCCATCGATCGTTCGCCCGAAAATCTCACATCGGTTTGAATTCTTCAGGTTCATCGAAGTACTTTTCGTTGTGGCCCATGTAATAAATGGGTACGATAATATTTGAAACGGCTGGAATGACTGGGTTTTGAACTGAAATGACACAGAATGATGTTAAATTACTTTATTGGTTCAAATTAATTGGTATGAATTAATAAATCGGAAATTCTCTTGAGAAACTACTCATTTATAATTCATCCCATAATCAAATCCAACGTACATAATTGAATGACTTCTAAAGAAAGACGACCGATGAATGGAACAGATGGAAACAAACGCAGCGATTCTTTCACTATCAAATGGGACAGTTGATTCACTTTAATCAGTGTTGTTGGCTCTTTGGTATCGTTTCCAAATACTTCAACAATTTCTTTGAAACCTTTTTTCTGGGATTCGGGATTTCTTGCAATGTTGTTCAAACAGAATGTGATTCCTGAAGTGGTCGTTTCATGTCCCTAATTGAAAGAAAAAGTCAATTAGCATTTTTGTTGCAAAACTGGAGGTGTTTTATTTTGGTTTAATGGAAAATAGCATACCTCAAACATAAAAATGCGCGTTTCTTGCGAATACCAATGGCCTCATTCTCCTCATCCTCTTGTGAACTGCTGCTATTCTCTTTATTATTATTGATTTTCAGTGCCAAGATCTCTTGTCGCCGTTTTCGTATCACGTCATCTGATAGAACAGCGGATGTCGGAGTATGAAATCAAGCATACGAGTGTGTAGCACATGTGTAATCCTTAATTGATTGTATACAAATGGAATGAAGTCATTAATATCTCATTGAACTCGATTGGAAATTGCGCTGGAAAATTGTCATCCACACACGATGAGATAGAGGAAAATGAGAACAAAGCAAAGCAAAATGGTTGACCGTCCTTTATTGAACTTACTATTTGACTGCATGCACGTATTCGGAATTTGGTTTGGAAAGAGCGTCAATGCTAACACCCGTTGCTGTTTCTATAAATGAAAAACCAAATTCAGTAATGCGATGATATTATGTGTGTGATATTCCGAGGTGATAATTGAATAAGAATGGTCAAGAACAATTGCACAGAAGCAAAACCATTTGCATTTTAAGTACAAACACAAATTATCAACATAAACAAATAAAATAATATTGTTTGACGGTTTATACAATTTTGCCGGTAATGACAACACACTTACACACAGTCACAAGCATTCGCTCGTGAGACTCGAAGCCGACGCAGTACGTAAGTGTGAGTGTGACACACGGCATCGGCTTCGAGCTGAGCTGTGTACGTTTCACGTACAACTGAACGCCTAGGCTTTCAATGCTACAAATGCACGAAAGAAGTGAGAATAGCAATGAAAGCCTAGGCGTTCGGTATTTAAAATGTACATATGTAATAATCAATACGTCTGCTTAGTGTGCTGCTCAATATTAAACTGCCACTCTTTATTCATTGACAGTGACATTTACATTTCAAACCGGCAACCAGTGTTGCCAACACTACATTACTCCTTTCTTTTTAAATTGTTTTGTTTTTTTTTTTTTTTTAATTTAATTTAATTTGAGATCAACAAATGCAAAATAAATGAACTGATGCAGTTAAATGTAATGTAGTCCTGTTCCGCTGACGTGTTCACTTCGATTGCTTCGGCTGTACAAAGTCCTGATAGTAGCTTGGTGTAGATCGTTTCCGTGTCGATGTTCGAGTCGGTATCAGCTGAGGCTGTGGCACGTGTTGTGATGATGTTTCGCCTGATGGTGGTGAGTGCTGTGAAGGAACATCGATACGTTCCGGAATCTTCTTAACATGGGCTACATTCCGACGGTATGACTTTCCCGTCCCCGAATGTACTACAATAACTTCTGAACCCATTCGCTTGGTTACTGTGTGAGTTGCTGGCTCGAAAGCAGTGTCAAGCTTGTTCGATACAATCTGTCTCTTGACCACTACCTCATCTCCTTCCTCAATGTCATTTGCTTTGGCGTTTCGCTTGCGATCGGCATACTCTTTTCCCTTTCGTTTCATGTCCGCATCACGATCTCTGACTTCACTGTCTTCTCTTTCGATATGTTGATCCATTGATGGCAATTTATCACGAATATTTCTGTTGAACATCAATTCTGCCGGTGTTTTCAACGTTGTCGAGTGCGGAGTTGAACGATACATGAGTAAGTACTTTTGCAAGTCTTCTTGCCAATTTCCTTTTTCGCTCTGACAAATGGATAATCGCTTCAATAACGACCGATTCTGACGCTCAACCTCTCCGTTTTGTTGTGGCCAATAAGGTGTGGTGCTAATCAGCGTAATGTTATTCACTCGGCAATACTGTTTGAATTCTTCGCTCACGAGCTGACGGCCATTATCCGCATGTATGGAAATTGGCAATCCAAAGCGAGCAAAAATGCGTTCCAAACGTTTAATAGTTTCGCTTGAATCAATTTTCGTCATTATTTCCACTTCTTTGAATCGGCTGTAATAATCAATCACCACGAATATGTAATGACCTGATGGCAATGGGCCAAGAAAATCAATTGCCAGGTGTTGCCAAGGTGCCGAAGGCAATTCCGTTCTTCTGAGTGGTTCGGGTGCTGATGGTGCACTTACTAGCAAGCAGCCACGGCATTTCTTCACAAATTCCTCTATCCGAGTGTCCATTTTAGGCCACCACACTTTCGCTCTCAACCGACGTTTCATCACCGTCATGCCGGGGTGACCTTCGTGAGCCAATTCCAGTGTTTTCTCACGCAGGATGTGTGGCATCACAATCCGTGTTCCCCGCAACAAAATGTTACCAGCAAAACATAGCTCCAGCCCGAATGGCTTGAATGCCGATGCCGAATCTGTCCATTCTCCTTCGTACAGCGCATGTTTGACTGCTTGAATTTCGCTGTCTTTCGTTGATGCTTCCGAAATTTCACCCAACTTAATTGCTTTTGGCTCCGCATACGCCACAATCCATCGAATGTATTGCTCTGTGTCATCACTGTCTGATGGTATGTTCATTTGTTTCAATAGTCGTGACAATGGGTCGGCAATGTTCGTTTTTCCGGGCTTGTAGATCACTTTAAACTTGTATGACATCAATCGCATAACCCATCTTTCAATTCGCGCGCATGGCTTTGACCTTGGTGCAAACAGTGTTTCGAGAGCTTTATGATCGGTCACCAGTTCAAACTCACGTCCGTATAAATAATACGTAAATCGTTCGACTGCCCATACCAGGGCGAGTGCTTCTTTTTCCGTTTGTGCATAATTGAGTTCTGGTTCAGTTAAACTGCGGCTAGCGTACGCAATGACTCGATTTTCTCCCTTTTGAAATTGTGTCAGTACCGCACCCAATCCGACTGGGCTTGCATCAGCAATGAGTTGTGTTCGGCATTTCACATTGTAATATCCAAGTAACAAATTATCTGTCAATCTGTCTTTGAATGTGTCAAATGCCAATTGTTGTTCACGGCCCCATTCAAATCTGACGCCTCTCTTTGTAAGTTGGCGAAGCGGCTCGCTAATAGTCGCCAGATTCGGAATAAATTTACCCACATAGTTCACCAGTCCAATGAAACTACGAACCTCCTCGGCGTTTTTGGGTGCGCGAAATTCCTGCACAGCCTTGACTTTATTGTGTTTCGGTTTTATCCCAGCGTCCGATAAAATATGGCCATAGAAATCAATTGCCGTGCGTCCGAATTTACACTTACTTTTGTTCAGTGTGATATTGAATTCACGAATTCGATCAAGCACCTTTCGAAGCCGTAGATCATGGAGCTCTTTCGTTGGCGCATAAATAACGATATCATCGATGTAAACGAGTACACCTTCACATCCACTTAGTATTTGTTCCATAAGTTTCTGAAAAATCTCTGGCGCACAGTTAATGCCAAACATTAGTCGAGTGTACCGAAATAATCCTTTTCGTGTCATGAAAGTGGTAATTTCTCGTGATTCTTCCGAAATTTCAACCTGATGATATGCTTGCTTAATGTCCAATTTTGAAAACCACTTTGCTTCGCTCAGGTGCGGCAAAAAGTCGTCCATAGTCGGCAATGGATGATTTTCCCTTTCCACCGCCAAGTTGGCGCGCCGCATATCGACACAGATGCGGACATCATTTTCACCCTTTGGTGCAACAACCAGCGGCGACACCCATTTAGCCACACCGCTAACTTGCTCGATAATGCCTTGACGAGCCATTTGTTCGATTCGATCGTCAACCAATTTCTCTAGTGCAACTGGTACACGGCGGTATGGTTGAGCTACAGGCTTCACGTCGGGTATGATTGGAATGTCAATTGTCACACCTTTGATTTTTCCCAGCGGTTTACAGTCGACTTCATTTTCATCGATCACATTGACATTGATAGCATTTTTCGGCTCCACATCGTCCCCGATTTTCAGTATTCCAAGTGCCTTGGCAGTTTCATATCCCAGCAATATCTGTCCCGGTTCATTAGCTACGTAAAACTTGGCCAACTTTTCGTTCGTTGCCGTTTTGACCACCGTTTCAATCATTCCTATGAACTTCAATGGATGCGCCCCATAACTTTTGAAATTGATATCAACTCCATTCTGTCGATGTGTGGTCACAATATTTTTGGTTTTCCATTCTAACCAAGACGCTTTGTCGACGACATTTCGCTTTGTGCCTGAGTCAACGATCACTTCAACATCAATACCACCGATTGTTACCCACATTTTGTTGTAATCGCCACCATCATCATCTGAATCGACCATGAAAATGTCCTCATACTCATCTTCAATACTTTTGTATTCGGGCTTCGATTCCATCTCGATCGCTTGCACATTTTCTCGTTTTACTTTGTTGCTCGACTGTTCATCATTTGCCGTGTCGCCCTTTCTTTTTCCAACGAAGCGTTTCTGGTCTCCGGATTCGCGAAGAAAACAGCAACGAGAGAAATGGTCCTTGCGGCCACAACGATGGCATGTCTTGCCTTTTGCCGGACAACAATCGTCTGATGCCTTGTGACCTTTCGAACCGCATCGGCCACACACAATACCAAAATCCATATTTTTCTTCGGCGGCAAATTTCGACGACTTGCAAATTTACGTTTCGTATTGATATTGCACACACTTTCATCTTTCCGTTCATCAACTGTCACCGGACTTGTATGTACGAGTGTTGCTTCCCTTTCGAACGTTTTCTGTTGCTTCGAAACAGCTTCAAAGATTCGTGCCATTTTGACAATTCGTTCCAACTTTTCATCACCTCGTTCCAATATTTTGCGTCGCAACACATCCGAGTGACAGCCGCTCGTGATTTGGTCACGAATGTTTTCATCGAGCTGCTCATCAAAATCGCAGCGTTCAGCTTGCTCACGCAATCGCATCATGAACATGTCGATTCGCTCACCTTTGTTTTGTGTCAACATTCTGAAAACGTGTCGCTCGTACGAAATGTTCTGTTTCGGTTCGAAAAATTCACACAGTTTCGCCACCGCTTGTTCATATTCGTCTTGTGGTTGAGATTTAACATAACCCGTTGCCAATGGGCCTTTTCGTGCGGTCTCTACGACTTCTTTTTCCGGCAGTGAATAATAAACCGATTGAACTTTTGCACCGGCGTAATGTAGCATCCAGTTCAATTTCTCTTCGGCGTCCTCCATCGAATTTGCTTGGGCGAAGATTTCAAACCCACGCAGCCATATTTTCCATTCGCCACCGCAATTTCCATCCGCTTTGAATTCAAACGGAGGCGGTCCATCTGTTGCTCGCGTTCGCTGCATGTTTCTCCGTTTCTCTTTCTTCTTCTTCTTTGTTTTCTTTCCGTGCACTGGTTCGTTCTGTCTGTCGCCAATGTAATAATCAATACGTCTGCTTAGTGTGCTGCTCAATATTAAACTGCCACTCTTTATTCATTGACAGTGACATTTACATTTCAAACCGGCAACCAGTGTTGCCAACACTACAACATAAAAACTATGAAAGCCTCATCGAACGACTGTAGGCTTTCATCAACGCCTATCGCGTTCACTCGGGCATTGTTCAATATTCGATTCTTTCCATACAATTGTTTTTCATGTGTTGTAAAGATCATTTCAGTACTGTCTTTCTTTTTACCGACAGCTCGTTCATAGCTCAAGTTATTTTTATCTTCCACGTCTCTTGTCTGTTCATTCAGATTAGCACCAACTGAAAAGTTTTCGTCATCATTTTTCGTCTCATCTGATTCTTGATTGTCAACAGTTTCACTATCGTGAGCCTCTGAAAAGCAAAACACCTTTTGTGAGTAAGAAATGAATACTATTTTGTTTTATTTTCACTACCTTTTCTTGTCTCTTTGCTCTCTTCCGAATCCAATTCAACTTCATTGCATTCGGGCGCGTCGTCATTCACTTCAATTACAATATTTGGGCGATAGATTTTGCGAATCAATTTTGGTGTTTTTCTTTGATCGAATATTGAACTACGTTCGACGGGCTTCTGTTTCTTTTTACGAGCTACTGCTGATTTTTTGGGATCGATTTTGTCTAACTTCACGAAACAGGGCTAAAATTGTAATTTTTCTCATAATATTGTGTGAACATAGAAGGCAAACAAACGAATGAACAAACCTTATACAGTTTTGAATCATCCAGACGAGGATCTTTGAAAGATTTATTCTAAAAAAAAATCAATGAAAAAAGTGACGCTAATCATCGTACATAAGACTCACTATTTATTTCACTCTCTTTCGCCGTATTGCATCATTTTAATTCCAACTCAACTCAAGGATGATTGAATGAAATGTATATGGGTAATGTGTTTCAATTGACGCAAATTCAATACAATTGGGCAAAAGAGTAAGAGATAAAAAGTTTAGTGGACGTCCGAAAAATTAAACAGTTTTTACCTTTGGAACAAACACAGATTCACGTTTTCTCTTACTCGGATTGCCATTGCTTGGAAATAATTCATTCTGTTTCAAATCCGATTCACTATGCTCAACAGATTTTTGTGTCAATTTGTGTACTTTTGTAGATTTCTTCTGAAAATTTGAACAAATTGAGCAAGAGGGATTGAGAGATGAAAATATATGAGCTTCATAACAACAGAATAGCTGTTACCTTTGGAGTCGCCAAATCTCGTTTTCTCTTTTTTGTCAATTTGACATTTTGTGAACTTGTTGCCGAATTCATCTTTAACTTTTCACTACCACCGCTTTTATTCGATCGAAAATAATTTTAACTTATTTAAATATAACAATAGAATTCACTTCAAAAGAACGTGTTTTAACGCAAATTGTAAAAGCCACAAGAATCGGTACATCGGTAGTCATTAAATAGACACTTGTTCCAAGGACGCTTTAAATGTATATAACAAATAGGAAATATTTGACGTATCGCGCCAAGACGCCCCCTACACGTGGTTAGTTTACATTGTGTGTGCTTCTGAATGTACCGAATTCCAATATAAATATAAAAGTAAAAACAAAAACAAAAAATGAATATGAAATTAAAACCTTGATGCAAATTTGATTCAATGATTTAAATTTTAATTCAAAAAGTATTGAAAATAAAAGTATTTAATTTCAATCACAATAATAATATTTTGTGTGTTGTTTGAAAAAGCTACAGTGCTTTTGGAAAAGTTCAATCACTCAAACTGAACGTTGCCAACTTCAGACTGAACTTGCAACAACAGATCATAAACTGTCATTCGTGTGTATTTTGTATATTGTTTATATTTTGGTGACATTCTACAATTGATCATCGTTGAATTGATTTACAAGGTAAAACAAATCTCACATTCGAATACATTCAAAATAATCGATTTAATTGTAGGTATGCCACACAAATCCAAGTGAACGTTCACATTTCATTCGTTGCATCAACAATTTGCCCAATTCATCGTCAAATGCTGTTCGAACGAAGCTGTTGGTAGATGTTCCAGAAATTGAAGTGCAACGCAAGACATTGAATTTGGCAATGGATTTGGTATCATCCAAAAATATCGAAGAAATGGTGCTAGTTTTGAAGAAGGAAATCTCCAAAACTCACAATATCGAACATGAGGACACCGGCAAATACCGCCAATTGCTCGTGTGCACATTGCAAAGCTGTTGCATTCACGTAAGTCGTCATTCAAACCACATTTCAAGCTATTTCAATTAAAGATTGGCATACAAAAAAGAATGTTAACATTTCTGATCCATTCCATTCATACAGTTCCCAGATGTTGCAGCCACCGTTATTCCTGTGTTGTCCGAGTTCTTGCCTGACACCAATGAACAAGCTGCTACTGATGTGCTTGTTTTCATTCGTGAAATCATTCAGAAGTGCACGCATTGATCACGGAAAAATTGATCGAAACATTCCCATCGGTGCGTTCCCTTTCTTTTCAAATGTAATTTTCAACGTTTAACCAAATATTTTTTCTCATTCTCATAATCAGAGTCGCAAAGAAGGAGGAGCCAAATGTCGCCGAGCTGAGACACTCTTCCAAAAACTCCAAACTTATATCCTTATATTCAAATGTCAACGGTGGGCGATGATGCAATGGGCAATGCAATGATATCACGCACCGAAGCATCGTCACCAATGTCAACGCTGAGCAATCAAAATTCAACCACAAACAATATGCTTGGATCGTATATTTTGCCAAATTCACGGTCATTCAAAACGAATACACTACGAAATGTGCCATCCGACGACCAACGTCGCAGCCATGATGCATCAGATACGAATTATTTAGAGACAATTTTAGTGCTTTACAAAGTGGACTAGAAACGTTTGTTTTCTGTTCGATTATGCGACATTTTGTATTTTCACGAAAAAAAAATTAATCTCTTTTGTTTATTCGTTTTTTTTTCTTTAATGGACTGAACTTTATCGATATATAATAATAAAATAAATCAGACCATTTGTAATGTAACATGGACACAAAGCAACTACATTCGTTTTTAATTTAACATTTGTTTTTTAAAAAAGAAAATCATTTTAATTTTGACAGTTCAACATATGAATTAATAAACAAACAAGAAAGTTCACCTTCGCTTCACTCGGTGAACATTCTCGCTCTGAGCTACGCGTAGAGTCTTTTAGAACCTAAGGACTCGTTTTGGGTCTAGTTTGTTATTGCATAACAAACTATAATTGGGCCGTTACATGAAATGTACATCACAATGTATGTATGGATTAAATACATAGCATACACAGTACAATAAAGTTCAGGTCACCAAATATAAAACAACTTCGCTCCGCTCTGCGTTCTTCAGTTTTAAGTTACTTAATCTATTTTGTTGTTTCACAACAAACTATTTTTTGGCATACTACATGAAATGTATTTCATCAAAGTAACTTTGAAGTAATATATTTATTTGCAAAATGAATTACAAGATCTTGGTTTTATTTCTTTTTTGAAATATACTGCCTTTGGTTATTAAATAAAAAATATGAGCATTGAATCTAAAATCACTTTAATTCTGTTCAAGACACAGAAAATATTATACGAAAAATTAATGTAATTTTTAAACGACATTTGATAATAAAAATTTGATTGGCGCTTTGAGATATTATGCACCTATTTGTCGTTACTGCCACTGTTTTAAATTTTATTGCGTGACTGGGATCGAGTACTATGTTAATTTTATTAGTTTCATTACTTTTATTAACGAAATAACATTTAGAATCCCCGTCCTGTAGCTCCAATTTTGTTCTTAAATGTTTGAACATAGCTGGATTCGTTTTGTGGCCATCACACGAAATATCTGCTATTATTATGCCCCTTTTCGTAACCTCATCTATCACTTGTTCCAGCAAGATGGCCTTTTCTTTTCCTTTTAGTGATTGTATAAAGTAATAGGCGATGGGCTGTTGAAATTGTACATTAATTCCAACCGCCATAAACACTATAACGTCCTTTGCGAGTGTGAACTCTTCATCTTGATTTGGTGTGCCGACATCTATCAGACCAATGAATTTGTTCGATGCCCGACACCATGTCATAGTCCGCTGAATATTGATTTCATCAAAATTTAAAGTAATAATCAGTTGCTTGTTCATCGTTTTTGCCTTGGCAGCCAACGCATCCAAAGACTGGTGGTTTATGCCCGATGAACCATCTAAATTGGAATTTCTGTACCATTGCCGAATGGTCTGGACATGTGGTAAATGGTTAGCGAATTTCTGGCGCAAATACTCGTAAGCCCGGGGACTTATGAAATGGAGAGACATACAAAAGGCGCGTATACTTGGTGGGTATGACTCGCGCGTTTTATGCCTTTACACAGGCATTCCACCACTTCTTTCATCTCAAAAAGCTGCAAGAAAAACGATTGAGAATTCAGAATTTAATGATATGAAAATCGTACATAATATGGGAATACGTGATTTGACAAATGAAAAATGGATAGAAGAGTAAACATGAAAAAATTACATTTAGAAAATCCTTTTCCGTATCGGAAATAAAGTTCTGCGATCGCATATCATCCAGGAAATATTTGAGCTTGGATTTCTCGTTTTCACTAGCAACCAGCTGTTTTGCTTTTTCCAAATTCCTTTGTTTTAACTCTGTATTTTTCTCGCCGAGTTTTGCAACTTGTATATCGTGTTTTGTTTTCAAAATTAGTATCTCGTTTTGCAATTTTCCAATTTTTTTCAATAGATGTGGGCATTGTTGGCATGTATGTGTTTCCATTCCGTCAGTTTCAACATATTCATTTGAAATAATTTCAACAAATTCTTGTGAATTGATGAAAACCGATGGAATTGCTTTCGAATTCAGTACATACTTGCCACCTTTTTTT